ACAAAATCACTACCGTGTCTTTTTCTAAACTACTCAAGTGTCACCGCCTGCCCCCCCCCCTTGCCAGCATTAAAATTGACAGACAAAATGGTGCTGCTTCTTGTTTTCTAGAGCTCGATATCAATTGGGTTCAGTGTCTTTTTTTATTTTGGAAATTATCTAAGACAAGGAAAAAATAAAGACAATAAGGAAAACAAGGCCCCTTTTAAAGAATTCATTTTATTTTTTTCCCCAGTTTGGCATTCTAAAAATATTTGTCTGCAGTTACAAAAGCACGTGACCTCTTTTGTTATTAAAATTGAAGACGCATTCTTCTTCTGGAAATGCCCATTTACATTGACAAAAGAATTTCAGAAGCCAAGTGAATGCTACTGTAAACATATCTGTATGCAGGTATCTGAATAAATGGGCAACATGCAGAGCGTACATCAGATTTAAAAGGTTATAAAATATCAGTCAGCAATGCAGACATAATTAATCTGGGGCTATAGAATATTATGACCTAATTAATATTTAATAAAGTCAAATTGGTTATTATAATAATTTTATTTTTCCTTAGCTCATCTTCCTTCCCTTTGCAAAATTTTCTATCAGCATCCTAAGCAATTTACTCTCAATTTAACCTATTTGTGTTTTAACAAGTTTGAGAAGAGACAGTCACTACGAAACTCCAGAGACACTGGACAGGAGCTAAGTGCTCTCCTCAGCTGGTAACAGCAGGGCATGACAGCTGAACTAAATACAAACTTGTACATATACGTATGTATGCTACCAGAAATCTATGGACTCCTTCAAAAAGAAAAAAAAACAACAAATACCACCACCAAAAAAACAAAAACAACAACAAAAAAAAACACCTTCCCTAATTTAAATAAAGAATGCAGAAGGCAATGCATCAACTATGTAGCTAGTAGGCAAGCAACACTCACTTTTTTATTCATACAAAACTCATTTGCTGTTCTCAGTGAGAAGAAGCTCTTTGGAGGCTCACTGCCTCCCTGCTCTCTCTCCTTTTTATAAAATAATCATGATCAGTGCTTCTATTTGCATTTCGGAGTACTGCTGCTGGATGTTAGTTGCAAGAGTTCTGAAAAAGTTTTGTGGACGATCCTGAAAACCGCTGCAATAGTCAAGTCTTTACTGCAAACTATTACGTATATAGGCTTAATTCAAACCCCATTTGAAGTAAATGAAGAAAAACCCCACTGCTCAGATGGACCGAGGCTTCTGGATCAGACCTTTTGTTTCTAGAGGTATGGCACAGCACATTTCAAATGCTTGCAGGAAAGAAGAGCGTGCAATCACTGAACAACTGGTAACACTAATTTTCTGCTAAAACATGGCTGTTTTTACAAAGGGCAACTCAAAATGATGAGAGCTTACATTTGATGGTATATGTTTTTAAAAGGCTGCAAAGTGGCTGATTCTGGGCATTGTATCCTGCATATATGCCTACAAAACATGCATCATAAAGTGAATTATGTCTGATTTTGAAGACAACAGATTTTCTGAAAACATGACAATATTAGGATCACTAGGAGATTTAAAAACATTCCGTGTAAGTGCAGGGATAGCTGTGGAAAAATTTTTGTAGCATTCTTAGGAAAAAAAACACAAAGTGACTTGCTTGCTAGTGTTAAGTCAAAGTCAAGATTCAGCAGTGACTTCCACAAAATGTGCAGACGTTAATGAATATCTGGATAGAGAGGGATGGATCTAGAAACCCATCAAACTTAAACACGTTCTCTCTGTTGCAGCCCGGGCACAGAGTTAAATGCACAAGTGCAGATTTACACAGTCAGTACAGTTTACAGCAGTACAAACTAAGGACTTGCAGAAGTGCACATGCGCTTGAAAAAATCTGCCCCGCCATTTTATATCTACTGGGATCACTCTCCTCGTGAATGCCTATTGTGCTGGCTACAGCCATTTCAACTTTTTGTCTTCTGGTTGCAATCATAAGTCTAGCTAGCTGCAAGCATGCTGAATACATGAATATGTATCCCTGCAAAAACCAAAAGCACTGTGCGAGACAACACATGCTATATGAACACACACACGGCTGTGAAGAAACATGCTTTACAGTACGTCTTAAGAAACAAAGACATGCAATCATCGTATTCCTACAATTACTGTATTTTCAATCCAGTCGAGGCCGTATAAATCAAAATTAAATCTGCATCACAGAATTGCTTTGTTATAGATGCACGTCCCCCCACCATCACCACCATGGCGGGGGGAGGAGGAGGGAGTGTTGATTACCTGCACCTGTTTCAAGCTGAGAGCAACTGATGCAGTTAGCAGGCAAAATGCCTAATTAGTGCGCATTTCCATGTTCTGGAAGGAAGGCATCACGACGACAGGCCTGCCTGCACTGCAGCACCATGTGAGGAGGCCACAAGCCAGAGACAGGTGAAGGCCCCGATCTGCCAGGAGCACACTTCGTGTGGAGCTGGGCCTGGCCACAGGGAGCCCACCTGCCTGCAAGTGGCTGCCAGAATGCTTCGGGGACGTGAATTATACACGCGACCCCCAAAAAAAAACTCCAGGAAAAACCTGGTTGCAACAAGGCCTTCCTTCCATTCCTCCTTTGTATTTCTCCCTCACAGTTACAAAATGACTGTGAATACTTGGCAGATGTGGGGAAAAGCAGTACTGTACCAATGCACCCATACAAAACAGAAGCCAGCCTGACGTTACTGCCTAGCTTCGATGAAAACAACTCAGGGCTGCACCTACATCTGAAAGCGTGAACTCCTTTACCATTCTCTTACCCTTTCTCCACTCCACCTCCTCCTTTTCCGCTCCCATTCGCCCACAATAAAACCTCCCGTAGCCCGATCCAAACCTTGCAGTCTTCACCCGGGCAAAATTCCAATTTATTTCCAAAAGTTTAGCCTGGATAAGAATGCCACACATCCAATTTAGCATCTCCACACATCACAATCCATCTACGTGTAAAACACCATGGGCTGTGCTCACTCCATGCACGCTGCCCTCTCCCCTCCACGTAGCAGAGCTCTGTGCAGCCCTGCATTGCGCTCACGGGCCTAGCAGATATCTCTCCTGCACTCCCTGCCCTAGCACCACCTGGTGAAAGCCAAGGCTTCGCTCAGGAGAGCCGGGAGCCCAAGAACATGACCTTCATTTACCAGCAACACCGTACATCTCTTTCTGGAAGATAAAAATCCACTCGGAATAAGGGAGAAAGACAGTCTGGAGCAAAAGCAGTTTCTTCTTTTAACAGAGCACCTTAGATTATTTTCACTATGTTCCACTAAATTATTATCTGAAAATATGCTAAAAATTCATCCTAGTCAGTTATGAAAAAAAAATATTTTCATGAAGAAAAATATTGCCTATGCTTTCAATTTTTCATTCCATACACCAAGTATTTTTGAGGAAACTATTTGGCAGTTGGACACAAAATGCTTTCAAATGTAAATGCCTTAGCTCACGTGCATAATTCCTGAAGGCATTCATTTGAGGAGCGGAACATTTCTATCAGCAATTATTTCATGTTCTAGACTAAAATAATTTTGAATTTAAAACCCAATCTAATCAACAGATTTTAATCCCTCTTCTCCAATTAGCATGCACGTGATCTTTATGCACTGCTACGTCCACATTCAGCGCAGTTGAAGAATCCTCACCGTGAAACAAACCAGCAGTAAGTCAGTTCTGCCTCTTTCACTTCCACAGTGATCATTTCTAGCAAGCCACCACAGAATAATGAACTCACACACCAGAAGCAATTTTATATTCCTTTAAGTGCTACTATTCGGCAACAAGACAGCCCCAGCAAGTGGGACAACCTATGAGAAAAACCCTCTATAGATAAACAGCATCACTGGGGGCAATATAATGGAGTGCTCTGAAATTCCACAGAGAAGATTGTTTAGGAGTTTGCAATTTTAAAACAACTACTACAAGATCAAAATATGAGTTAATATTTTATCTGCACTGCCCTGGGCAGCTACTACATGCCTCTGAAAAGTACTTGGAAGAAATTAATTGTAGCTGAGCTATCACTGAGCCATACGTTCCCGAATTCCTTTCTTAATCTGCACAGTTCACCAAAACAGTCTCTGCTTACTTTGAGTTTGATCGGCCAATAAATACTACTTTACTGCTTGAAGTTACAAGTTATTTTTTCAGTTTACGTTACCATAAAACAGCTCAAATGCAGTGTCAATAAGGAGATGGTTTTGATACAGTACTGACAATGGCCTGAATTTAAAACTGGTGCTGTGCAAGCCACTGAGTATTTTCTATTTATTTTGCAAAGGAAAAAAAAAAAGAAAAAAGAAAAAAGAAAAAAGAAAAAGAATTTGGATTTGCTTTCTTGTATCCATGAATTTAAATAAATAAATCAAATTAAATGAAAATATTCAAATATTTTACATGAGCATCCAGGTTTCTTCAGCATAGAAAAAAGCATTTTGTTATACAAATACATATGGAAGGACTAGGTATCATGAAGAGGCTCCTTAATTTCCAGATACTTTAGCTTGCATGTGCACTTGGCTGTATAAAGCACAGAAAGTGTTACAGGTTAGGCAATTTCAGAGTAATTATAAATCTGTAACCCTCTGCCAAATAATGCCTAACACAGAACATCCATAACTGCATGCTACTTAGACTTAGCTATAAATGGCATTAGTCTAATATTTAAGTAATACACTTAAGTAAATTTCTTCATCAACCCCCAAAGAGCAAGTGAAAGAGTGGGACCGAGCGCGAGCACGTACCTGCGCGTGTATGTAGAAGATAAAATAGAAAATACACTTAGAGCACTTACGGACCTTTACAGGCTATCAAAAAAATCATTGTAAGAAGAGATGATACAAATGGCAATTATAAAGCAATCCTCAACAACCCCAGCTACCAGAAAAATTAAATATGAACCCTAGAAATACTTATGCCCAAATCTACATCGCTAAAAGAACTGGGACGCATAACTAATGTGATACAATTACTGAAGATTATCTCACAGTTACCTCAAAAATATGAGTTCAGGACGGGTATGGTGTTGCCCAGGCGTACAAATGGCACAAAACCCCATGGACTCGCTCCCAGGCGCATCGTGACTGCTCTGCACGCCGATGTCTAATAACGCCTGGGACACGTCGAAATATTAAATAGATATAAAAACTTGCACCGCCCAACTTTGTCGGTTTCTTTTCTTGAGCTTCTTTCTGTTTAAGAAATAAGGGAGGGGATTGCCATTGAAGCCAGCAGCTATTCTGCAATCAATGAAGGCAAGACTGGCACAAGTCCTGGAGATTTGCATTCAGAAATAAAAGCTGTGATCGACCTTTGTCTGCTAAGAAAACGAAGCCCGCTGCTTCTCGCCAGCCTGGCGAAGGGAGGGGCCGCCTCGCTGGGCAGGGAGAGTCCAACCTAAAACCCGCCGGCGGTGGCAAGTATCGCCGCACCGCGTCCCTCTCGGCCAGCCCTACGGGAGGGAGAGAGAGAGGGAGGGAAGCGGGCTTCGACCTCGCCACGCTGCCGGCAGCCCCGCCGAGGCGCGATGCCCGCGCACTTTCTTTCCCCAAGTTGCGGTCCCCGCTTGCCGGGGCTCGGCTTACCCCTGAGCGGGCTGCAGACCGACCTCGGGCGGCGGCGTCTCCGCCTCGCGGCTCGGCGACCGCGGGAAGGGCGGGCGGGCGGGCGGCGAGCCGGCGGCCCCGCAAGTGCACGCAGGCCTGCGAGGAGGGAAGGCGGTCCTTACCTAGCGGGCGGCTGGCGGCTCCTCCGCACGCTCCCCCTGCCACAGCTGCTGCCAGCTCCCAGCGACAACAATGGGAGGCTGCGAGGGGTGGCATGGAGGGGAAGGGAAGGGAGAGGGGAGGGAGAGAGAGGGAGAGAGAAGGGGAGGAGAAAGAGAAGCATGTTAAGCTTGTCTGGTAGTTAACAAGTCTTGAATGAAGAATGTTAGCAAACAGACAAACAGCATGTCTGATGCATGCTAATAGTCCTGGCTTCACCGCTGACACTATGAATAATTCAGTAAGAGGAGGGTGGAAAAAAAAAAAAAAGAAAAAAAAAAGAGGCGCCCTCCATCCTCCCTTCACGCTTTCCAACGTCTGAAGAGAAGACAGGAATAAAAAGTATGCCACAACTTTCTCCTTCCGCCCTGCAGCCCGGGAATACCCGGCGAAGAGGCCGGCGAGGCAGCGCGCTCCCGCCAGGGCTCCTCCCGAGGCTCGCGGCTCCTATTTTTTGCCGGCTATTAATTTCCCCCACTCCCTCTTTACAGCCTATTCCACTCCTTTTGTCTGGGAGCTGGCACCTGTCCCAGAGGCAGCGTTTTGCTGCACATCTCTCTCCCCTCCGCCGCGGGGAGCAGACGGGCCCCCCGCTCTCCGCACACCCCCGTGTCGGCCATCGCGGGGGGCTCGTGGGCTGAGGGGGGGGGGGGGGGAGGGGGCGCTCGGGGGGAGCGGAGCCCCGCTCCGTGAGGCACGGACACCTACGGCCGCCGAAACAGAGCTGCAGTACAGAGGCAGGCAGAGCGACCGGCCGTTCCGTGAGCTGCGCGGTGTGCCGGTAGTGGGTGGGCGGGGGGGATGTGACAAATAAAAGCCCTCGTTCTCACAGCATACAAACTAGCGAAGCCCGATTCATCGCTCGGCCAAAGAAATCAATTCCCCTTAACCGAGGAAAAAGAGAGAGGAGAGGGAGAGAGAGAAAAGGATCAGCGGAGGGGAAAATACTCGGAGTTTTAACCTCAATGCAACGAGATACAGTACGGCCGAGCCAAGCGCAGGAAAGACGGAAAATTAATCCGTTCTTCAGCAGTGAAAGGAGGGTTAAATAGAGAGAGAGAGAGAGACGAAGAGGGGAAAAAGCAGCAGCGCCTATGCACAGCATTTTAAAAAGTTCTGCTCTGGCAAAGGCCGTCTGAAGGGGAGGCCCTTGCAGCAGGAATGCGAGCGGCGGCAGCAGCGTCGTTCCAGAGTCCGGCCTCCCCCTCGCAGCGACTGCAGCCGAGAGGCGGAGGAGGCCGCGCTGGCGCGGCGCAGGGCCGGGGCTGGGCGATAGGAGGGCGGCACGGCACGGCGCGGCACTGCCGAACGGCCGCGCACAGCGCACCGCAGCGAGGGCCCGGGATCGTGCGGGCCGCGGAGGACAGAGCAGCCGTGAGGAGAGACAGCGGGGCCGGCTAATGGAGCTTTTAATTGGGGGCGGGAGGGGGGGAGTGGGAGGGAAAGGAAAGGAAGGTCCTGCGGAAATATCTTCCGGGATTAAAACAAGGAGCGTCGGACTCCCGTCTAGATGCGGCCCTGTAGGAAAGCGCTGCGGAGACACCGCGAAAAAGCTGCTCGGAAGACCCACGGCGCTAAAAACGGGGATTGGAAAAAAAAAAAAAGTAAATGGTGTGTGTGACAAAAAAAGCTGGGTGATTCTGTTTTCTCATGCCCTCGCTCCTCCACCAGCTGCACAGCCAAGCGCAGGCTGCTTGGCCCTTATAACTATCTTGGCACGGAGTCAAAAGCTGATAAGCATTTGGGCGAGACAGCTCAACTGCTGTGCTGGAAGAAAAACAGCTGCCATGATTTCTGTTTGATTGAGAGCGCTTACACACACGCACAAAAAACACATCGGGCTGCAGAGACGGGCCACGAATGCCTGAGGATTCAGCTTCAGAAGAGCAACGCACGTTTCCTTAAAAAAAAAAAAAAAAATTAAAAGAAAAAGAAAGAAAGAAAGAAAAAAGTTTTATACAGTTTTGCCTCCATTCCTCCTCCCCTTTTTAAAGAAAATGTACTGCGTAGACTCGCTCCTCTCCTTCCCATCCCCCTCCATAACCTCAAGCAAACTCGAGGAATTGTGCCAAAAGTCCCGTTGCTAGTTACCGAGTGCGTTTTTTTTAAACGTCCCTTTGATACTTCTTCCCCTTGTGCTTGCCATGGAATATGCAAGTACGATAATCTTTCCATTACTTAGGAAAAGTAATTAAAAATGAAAAGAGCTTCTAGCAAGCCTTCCTTTTTCTACTTTTTTTTTTCTCTGAAGGGGCAGAAGAAGGGAGGCGAGAGAGAGAAGAATATTTTTTCTCTTTGCAGAGTCCAACATTTGGCTTTTTCCATTTGTGGCAGATCACTGTAACGCTATTGTAAAACAACTTCCTGCCCCTTTTGGCTCCGGTTCCAGAAGCTGCTAGGCTAAGTTCATAGCGCAAACTTTTTTCCCCCTTGCCGAAGAAGAAAGGCAAAAAAAATATTCCTGCACATTATTTTCCTCCTTCTCCGGCTAATGGACTCACAAGGTGAATTCATTGCAGCTCTGTAAGAATGTCACACAAGAGACAGCGCTATCCCAGCTGGATAATTCATGAGCTGAAAGGTGGGGGCATTATAACTATACGTCTGTCTGTGTCTCTGTGCGTGTGTGCATTTTAATTCTGTAACTTTGAGTTGTGAGTTATACAGGTGGATAACGAGCTAAGCTGCTTCATCTGCTGTACTAATTTGTGTATCTATCATAGCGCAGATCACTGGTTTAGCACATACACCCTCCTGCTTTCCCGTTGCTCTCGCATTCCGAGGTGACCTGCTAAACCCTCCCTCCCTTCCTCTAGATGCTGGGTCTGATGAAAATGCCCACCGAGGACTGCTAAACCCTCCCTGCTAGGAATGAGATGGAGCAGTCTGTGATGCGAGCCAAAAGGGAGAAAAGAAGGCCTCTACAACTTGCTCTCTCACGATCTCCCTCTCCCTCTGTTTCTCTCATAGCAACAGCATTTCTTGGTACGCCTGCTTTGGCATACATCAGCATTTCTACCCGTCCAAGTGTCCTTTTGCGTCACATCTCGCCATTTCGCTCAACCAATGAGATCTCCTGCTTGCAGTAAAAATATATATACTTTTTCTGTTATTGGTATATTCGAATTTTTTTAAGTGCTTTCCTAATAAAAAGCGTTGTCGAGCATTCGGTTTGCCCTTTGTAAAAAAAAAAAAAAAAAAAAAAAAAAAGACTGCAGGATTCAACCTTGTGAAGTCTTCTTTGTGGAAAATACGTTACCATCAGAAAAAGGGAAAAAGAGATTACATGGCTACTTAAGGGAAGTTGTAGTTGTCCCCCTGATTTAATATTTATTTTGCTTATGCTATCATTGCTCCCCCAATGTACTTTTAGAGCAGCTGGACAGTTTCAACTAACTGGAAAAGTCAATACCACGCTGTTTCTAACACTTCTAAAAATATTCCTGAGGAAAAAAGATAGTAATGTCTTATTCCTCTAAATATTGATAATGAGACGATAGAAAGAGTGAGATGGAAAAACAGTAGGTGTGTGATCCTATTCCTTGCAACTCGCAGATCCTCACCCCCTTCCCCCCCCCCCCCCCCCCTCAGTGGCTGCTCTCAGACCTACTACTTCCAAATGCAAGCTCCTGTAAAAAATTGCAGAGGTCTTCACATCCACAGAGGTTTTTTTTTTGAGATGCATTTCCTTCTTACATAAACTCACTGACTTCTAAAAATATGGTATTTAAGTGATCTGCTGTGGTAATGACAGTGGCAGCCTTACAGTAGGCTTGTAATGCAGCCCTCCCAGGAGCTGCATGCACTCTGCCTGATACAATTGCTAAAAGCAAGAATTACAAAGAACAGGGTATCCTGCATTTAGCAGGACATCCTTTCCCCCTATATATTATAAAATATATTAAAACCCATCTCATTGTTTTTGGCCATGACACTCCAGACAGAACGCAGTAAATGTGATTACATCTGCTCTATTAAAATGCACAATATTAGCTAAGTCTAGAAAGCACAGAGTGGCATGTGGGTCTCAGAACGGCTGGCTGAGCCACATCTTGAATGTACTGCAGTGACATATTTAGGGAACCTCTGCTGCACATTTTTATCCGGCCTCAAATCTCACGAAAACGCTCACCACTGGCATTCTGAGGAGAATAAACAGTTCCTTTGTAAGCCAGATACATGTTTTATGGTCTACCCTTACCAGTTTCTATTTTTTTTTTTAATACTGTGAAACCACAAAATGTTTTTAATATTTATTTTTAGGGAATTACAGTAAAAACACACTAGAGGTTATCAGGATGTATCTGACAAGATATTTAAACAGCAACTTTCCCACAAAGTTTTATGTTGGTAAAATCATACCTAGGCATTCTGAACTCTTCTTCTAATAACTTGTGTCTGCTGTGTATGGGCTGTAGATGTGTATTCATAAATCTTGAGTGCTTAGAAAGTAAAAGCAAGCATAACTTCTGGAGTACAGACTTAGCAACAGATAGGCGTGGTATCCCGCTAAAAACTCTTATCATTTTTATTTTGAAATAGTGATGTCTGTGATAGCATTTATTTTTAACAGACATGCACAGATGAGAAATGTTAAGAGACTGTGATGATGCATTCAACAGCTTTTGATGCCAGTGTGATATAAAAGACAGACCACTGTTTTAAGAAAGGATGAGGCTCACATTATGAAGAGCTTAGCTGGCAGTATTTTACTTGCATTTAATGGGATCCCCCGAAGACTTTTTGCCCTTTCTCTGAGACGCTGTTTTCAGCTCCTTATTTACTATTGTATTTTTTATATAAAAATACAGATTTCCTTGTCCGTTACTCTTTATACCTATCCCTTTCCTTCTCATTTTTTATTCATAAACATGCAAAGACAGCTGAGTTCCATCTCTGCTTCTGTCTCGTAACTGGGATGGTTAAAAGTGCATCTCATTTACACAACTGCAGCTCACACTTGCCCACTGTATATTATCTTTTCTCAAGGAGATGCACAAATACATCATATCTGTCACCACAGCTGTAAAATAGGATGGCAAGTAATCTAACTGAAGATTACTGCTGTACTAAAAAAGTAAGGATTCGGGAAAGCAATTAAGGGAAGTCTAACTCGCATGCTTCACTTAAGAGAAATGGAATTCAAAAAAAGGAAGCAGAGGAATTATTTTAACACTCATTATCCCTGAATAATTTGAAATTATGTAAATTCTAAAACAGCCATAGTGTTGAACTGAAGTTTGTCTATTACATCATTTTATAACACTTTTCTCTCCCCTTATCACAACTTCTGTCTATTGGAAACTCATTGACGCATACTTCTCTAATGCACTAATTTGTTTTCTTTCATTTGAACTTGGAGTGCTATCACATCTACGTTTTTTGCAGTACAGACATCAAAACATTTCTATACAGATTTGTGATCTTTCTAAATAATACAGATCATTTTCAATATTGGAATGTTTCTACACTAACAACCTCCAGAAATGTTTAATAAAATATGACCAGGTACATGTTTTTTAGAAAAATAATCCAATCAAATTTATTAAACTTTTAAGATAAAGATGCCCATAAGAGTGAAAATTCATATTTCTGAATTTGTACTTTTCATATCTATAAAATAATCCCAGTATTTGTTACATAAAGATCACCAGGAATATCTATACTTTTTTTTTTTTTTTTAAAAGCATCTTTTAAAAAATAGAAATAGAAGCAAAGCAGTTTGCCCATTGTTTCCTGATGGGATTGATGGTGCTCTGTGGGATTATAGTTATGTACACATCATAGAAATGTACTTCATTGAATAACTCACATTAATTCCAGAGGATCAGTGGCATATTAACCTAGAGGGGAAAAAACATTCAAAATACCAAATACAGACAGTTTTGATGCAAGCGATTCTGAAATGTAAAGGCACAGCTGAGCAAGGATGCATTTCCAGCATCCAACATAATGAAGCATTTTGCAAAAATGTTTCCTTCAGTACACTGTATATTAACGATAATGTTTTACAGCAAAGTTGGCATTAAACTGGTACCAGCACAAAGGAAACTGGCAGTAGGACAAGCTTTTTGTTTTTTAATACTTTTTTCTCCCAGAGGAAGGAAGTATCAAACAGTGCATGACATTAGCAGTTTTTTAAAGGGTGTTACCAACACAATTTTGTTTATCGTGCAACTTTTCTTTTTAACTATACAAAACTGTATGCTTGAAACTGATGATATTAATAATTTTCTTGTATACCATTCCTACTGATGAAAATTCACATCTCAAGCAACTAATCAAAATCCAAGATAAGATTTTATTTACTGGCTTGTACTTATTTATCGTAAATGTGCTATAAAGTTCGTGGAGGCTAATTTAACTGCAGTATATATTTGTGAAGGAGATGCAGGCTGGAAGCTAGGCAGCGGCAAAGTCACGTCAGATAAGGAGAAATCTCCTCAGCTGTAAAACATTGCTGTTTTGTTTTATTGACAGTGCAACTAAACTTTAAACCACGTCCAGTTTGCCCATTACTACTTGATGCTCTGACAGACTGCAGTCCATTCCTCTCGCTGAGCTCAGACAATGCAGCTCCACTCTGCAGATTACCGTCTCCTATGATTTTGGGATCCCACATCATACCGCCCCCCCCCTCCCCCCCAGCTCCCCAGCTCTGCTGCCCCCAGCTGCCTGCAGCCCCATAGATGCGGGTGCCTCCCAGCCCGGTCCCGATCCTCTTGTTGCTGCCCAGGAGCTCACAGCCCCAGCATCGCCTTGCGACAGCAGGCAGCCAGCCCAGGTCACAAATGGCCACCACGCTGCTAATTCCAGCAGGAAAAAAAACCCAGTTTTTTTCCTCTAGCTACACTCAGAGGAAAAAGAGATGGCACTTATCCCAGGAGATGCCATATTTCACATGCAGTGCTTAACCTTAGAAACATTAAAAGGACTTACCATCCGCTGTTCCTGTACCTTCAGCAGTGACTGACAACTCCAGTTCTCAAAGTTCAAGTGCTCTGCTCCAGCACTACTTTTCTTCTGATTTCACTGGGAACGCAGAGTTACGACAAGCTATTGGATTTTAAAACACACCCCTGTTTATTTAAATGGGCAGGTCTGCTCAAAATTGTGTGCCCTGAAGAAATAGCTACTAGGGGAGAAAGGGGGGGAGTGAGAGAATTAAAATACAAATATACAGAAAAAAGAAAGTAAATATCGCCTTGTAAAAAAATTATAAAAGTGTTGATTTTTAGAGAATATTAAGCTGCAAAAGATAAGCAGATAGGCATACTGAAATCTGCAATGAAAACCTGAAATTTCTTAGGTCCACAAAACAGGGCATTAAAATACCTTCATATTGCAAATTACTCACAGGCTTTTCAAGTAAGCAAGAGTTGCCGAGTGACCAAATTTTGTATTAAGAGGCTCTGTTTTTTATCTGTTTTACAATGAAGAGCTACAAAGTAAATTGTAGTGGGAACAAAAAGGAGAACATACCACAGAAATTGCTCTGGTTTTTTTTTTTGTTGTTTGGTTGGTTGTTTTTTTTTCTGCAGTGAAATGTTAGTAAGGTGACAAATTCACACACAGTGGAAGAAAATAAAAAGGGTTATCCATTGAGATGACACATTCATAGCAGAGTTGCAATTATTTAGTATACATGAAGATATTTAACCCAAATTGGTTGCACACAGTGAATTCATAGGTACTTTATCCATCTATGAGCTGAACATTAGTATCCTATCTATTGTACATAGCCAACTTCAGTTTTATGGTTCAATTAAATATTTCTCTTTAAGCTTTTAAAAATAAAATATGTAATGAATCATGTGCATCTTAGATTCATCTGTCTAGATTGGCTATCTGAAGTCTCAGAGTGTAACAGTGTGTTGGCATTTAAATCCCATTTCTTAAAAAAGAAAAACAACCCTCTTAGCACGAACAATATTGACTCATAATTATTATCATGAAAAAAAGAATATCAATGGTATAATAACTCTATTAATGTATTTATCTGTACAGATAATAGAGGCTTTATATTATTTATATTAATTGCAAGTATAGATTACAGTTGAGGAAAAAATAACACCACATTTAATTCAGTACTTTATAAAATTTGTATTCCATGAACTGTCTTCCTGGGAATCACTTCTCCCCCATGTCATGTTATACTTACCAAAATTGTCACACTTGTATTCATTACCAGGCTTCCTACATTTTGAAAGGATGTCTAAATTTACATATTCGGCTTTAACAGTATTCTGCTATTTTTCAGCTTTAGTAAACAAAATGTCACACATAGATGTGATTCTGTATTTCCTTTGTCTAGAAATTTTTATTCCCATACACAGATACAGTTGAGCATTCTGCTTACACACACACACACACACACACACACACACACACACATTTCATATTTGACAAAAATGACAGAACGCACAGCAAGGATTTTAGAAAATGTGAATGGATTTCTATCCCACTCTCACAGACACCCTGTGGACAATGCACTGCATTATGAAACGTGCACTGGGGAAGTCCAAGCAAACTCCACCACCAGCAGCTGCAGCAGTGCAGTTTTGGCTGTGGAGTTCACAGGCAGTTGGAGCAGGAAGGCCTCGGTTCAGAACAGCACCTCTGAATCGAACCATTTATGACTGCACAAGAAAGAAAAGACTTTTACATTATATTACCTTGGCCTTGAATATAATGCAAAGTATTTTTTCAAAAAGAGTGTGTCATCTTGGTGCTGAAAGCAAAAAAATCTCTCTTTATAATTTTTTACTTTTTTACTTTTTGAAAGATGAATCAAATCCATGCTGCCCTAAATATATGCCACAATTTAATACTCGTTTTATTGAAGCTTATTGCAGCATGACAAAGCTAAAACATTTCTAAAAGCAAAATATTCACTGGGGTTTTTCTATGCTACCTACACAAAAAGTACAATGTGAATGATAATGCTAGCACCTCAAAACTAAACAAAACAAACAAAAAAACCCCCAACAAATTAAAAATAATGAAAAATCACTTCCAGATATTCTTAGTGAACTATTTTTTAAGTTGTTTAAAAACACTTCCTTTTCAGAATACTGAAAGTTCCCAGGGGATATCGGTGACGAATCCATGCAAATTTCAACTCCCAAACTTAACCATTTTTTGCCAGGGCATTTTACTAGAGATTTTAGATAGATGATAAAAACAATGAAATCTTACAAGGTCAACTCTTAAGTTGACTCTCAGCATATCATCAACATTACACTGCATGCAAATGCCATGCAATGAGTTTTTCTCGGTTCACAAAAAAATTCAAGAGAACTGTACAGTGCTTTTTCTAGTGCAACGAGGAACTTAATAAGAAAATCATGGAGGGAGGAAAAAAAAAAAAAAGACAGTGACACCTTTTGTCTCCTGGCAACAAGGCAGCGAGGCTCTCCCTGACTCAATTAGAAATACATCTGCTTTTCAAAAACTTTTAAGCCAAATACCAAAACTGGAAAGCCTAAATTGCTTCCATCATTCAGCAATAAGAAAAAGAAACAATTTCCTCTCCCCCCAACAATTATATTAAAGAAACGCCATGTACTTCAGCTCTTCAGCATGTAAGTGCACACACACGTGTGCTGTAACATGGCGGAGCACACATATCAAATGTGCGTATATGTCCAGTCCAGTAGGCATGAATACTGTTAGAGCAAGACTATACATTAATATTTGCCTTACATAAAATTGCACAATATAAATCACATTAATAACTCAGCCTGAAGATTACTAATAAAGGGTTACATTTGAATGACAGGAAAATCTTGGAAGATACTGTTTAGGACATTTTTTTCTAGTTATACAAATAAACATGGCATTTAGAGAATGTTATAAAATATCTAACTATACAAAAAAATTGGTACTACATCAACAGTAATTTTCTCCCTTCAACGTTATCGTAGCAACTCATCACTACATTCAGAAAACACGTACAACTAACTAACTGCTCTGTAACTACCTGAATTGAAGACCTCATTCCCTTAATAGACCTGCAACAATTAGGGAAACGGTCATAAAGATCGGGTATTTCATCCAATAAAGCACACAAACCAAAATTCTGTTCCAGTGCTCAGTTGGCAGTGCTAGGAGTTTTCAGCACAGAAGGGAAAGCAAACAGACACTTGAGATTCATTGTGGGGATTTGTAAAACACAATTTTGCTTTAATGCAGTACTTGCACACATGCTCAGATAGCAAATGGCTATGCCATACATACAGAGGAAGATTTTTATAAGAATATCAAATTTACAGTATGAGCATTCACCTTTTACTGGCCAGCAAGTGGCCAAAACCTTAATCAGGCTGAGAAATGTAATCCACTGGAAAAGATCACTTTGTGCTGGAACTACTATTTTATTCTAGCTTTTGTCTTTGCATTTCCCTAGCAGGGAACGCCATTTTGAGGCTGTTGTACATTTCTGTGTCCCAAGTGGATAATGCCTGAGAAAAACATACAAACGATATTCTCACACTGCAGAAAAAGGTAACCATGCAGTGCCACAGAAAAGTAGCATTTTTATTTTTACAGGTGCAGCTGAGGTTTGTCTTGTATTTTCTTGTATTAAAACCCACATATGTGACTGTTCAATACTGTATCTGCACTATCTGTAGCCATGCAGCATTTTGAAACTTCAATGTGTGTTTTTTGTTGTTTTTTTTTTTAATCCAAGCATTCAAAGGAAAGAGGCAGAAGGAGAGACTTCACCTCAACATGGGCAAACACGCATGTACTTCAAATGGCTGCTGCCAAGTTGCAATGGCCCTAAACCATTTATCACTCAGTCTGGTATTAGGTAAAAGTTAAATTAATAATAATTTAAAAAAATAGGTTCAGGAATGTCCAGTGTGCATGTGAAACCTGACCAAAACCATGCTGTACAGGATAGCTTTATAACTTTTCATTTCTTCTCTCCAAAGGATCAGGAAGATCTGCACGTAATAGAAATGGCTTAATATTCAAGGCAGAACAGACATATGTGTATTGATTGCTTAACTGGGGGGAAATGCTTTTCCATGTGAATAGTTCTTACTTCGTCTTCACTTCAGGGTCACATTTGGAAACAGTTCTGATAAAGCAAGTCAAGAAAAAGTAATGCAGGAGTTCACATCTCTAATTTCCTAATTTCAGTAACGTCTTCATTGAGGAAATAAGAAAGGTCTTGAAAAGACTAAACTAGTGTTTAGCTTTATCATGTATACGAACTGGAAAAATCACTGACAGAAACAGTTATGCTGAGGACTCAGGTTCACACAGTAAAATAGACTATGCCCTGCTTACTCTTTTCATGCAAACTTTGCCTGGGATAAAGCACTTTTTAAACAGTTTTGTTGTTGTTTTAAGTAAGATAATTAAATAAGCAGTAAGAAAGTGGGGAGAGGGGGGCAAATGTCTTTTCTACACATATCTTGAGAGTTTTTACTCAGATATATCCAAAGCAGAAAATCTCATAAGGGCTCCACTTAGTAAGAAGCTTTCAGAAGTGGCACTTTCACTACCATATTATCATATTGTATGTTGTAGTATTTTACACAAAGAAAAAATAGCTTTCCTTTCATATGGGCACATAGTATATTTTTATAAGATTCCAACATTTTTCTGAGGAAAAAGTATTTTAAAATTTGAATATTAGTCGAATGTTTCCTTCATTTTCATTTTACTTTAAGCAGCTATCCACATTTTAAAATTGTCCTAAAACCCTTCAACTCCAGAGCAAGCAGAACCCTGTCAATTCTTTAAAGCAAAGCAAAGCAAAAACTCAAAAATCAATCCTACAAGAAAAATAAATGCCTTCACACTCTCTTTAGTATTTTAAATCCTGCAGGTAACTAAAAAGCAACACCAGTACTAAAGAACACATGGTGTAGTGAATGGACCTTGTATTTTCATAACTATATGTACTAATTTTAACTAATGAACATAAGTGAAGAATATACACATGCTAACCTGACATTCTCATCTTGACTGGATAGCGGGTACAGTAAGCATAGCTTTCCCCTCTGTCTTCTATT